AATTGGCACTGGAGCTGGCTCTAGCTCTATAGCTGCTGCTAGAGGTGGTGCTGGAGCTAGCTCTAGCTCTGAAGCTGGTCTAGCCTGAAATTGATGCTAGCTCCAACTCAAGCTAGCAGCAGAGCTAGTGGTTCTGGATCTGATTCTAGGTCTGGAGCTGGCTCTAGCTCTGCAACTGATTTTGGTTCTGGTGCTGTTGCTGGAACTGGCACTATTGCTGGTTCTAGCTCTGGAGCTGATGATCAAGCAGACCCTGAACCTGCCACTGGAAGTGGAAGAGGAAAAGGTTCACCAACATTAATGGCCTTCCATTTGCCTTTTCAAAGACAGAAAATACCACAGTCAGCCCAGACCTTACCCCAGGACATCTTCTCAGACTACAGTCTACCAGATCAGTTGTCTGAGGCTACTCTTTGGTCCTGGCCCAACACAAGTCTCTGGAGGCTTCTCCTAGTCTGGCCCAGCCCCATCCCCCTCCTTGCATGCACTGACCCCCTGTCCTCTCACCCTCTGGCTCTGTCTCAATGGGTAAACAGTCTGAGCACCCTCTCCTTCTTCAATAAGGCTTCAGTAAGGCTGACATACTTTTCTGTAGGTCTCCCCTGGCCTCCTTCCCACTGGATCATAGACTCCATGAGAACAGAGAGGGTAGTGTCTCCTCTGTTCACCACACTGCACTGGCACACAGTAGGTACTCCACGAATATCTGACAGATGAGGGAACAGTCTGTCCCTCTGCCCACAGGCCTTAGTGACACCTCAACCTGCAGCTCATGGCTTATGGAACCAGTATGGTTTGGGTCTGTTCCCAGCTCCAAAGCCCCCAGCCAGACGCTCTGACTTTCCTGCAGCTTCTTTGAGCCACCTACTCTGCTTTGTAAAGGCCTCTCTTTCTTAGTTAGCCTGGCTAGAGGTTCATCAATTTTATTGATCTTGTCGAAGAACCAACTTTTGGTTTCATTGCTTTTCTCTATTGATTTCCTATTTTCAATTTCACTGATTTCTGCTCCAAATTTTATCATTTCTTTTCGTCTGCTGCTGTCAGTTTATATTGTCTTCTTTCTCTAGTTGCCTCGGGTGGATAATCAGTTTTAGAAGTTTCTTATTTTTCTAATATATGCATTCAATGCTATCAGTTTCCTTCCAAGCACTGTTTTTGCTGCATCTTGCAACCTTTGTTATGTTGTGTGTTCATTTTCATTTAGTTTAAAATATTTTAAAATTTGTCTTGTGACTTCTTTCTTGACCCATGTGGTATTTATATGTGTGATGTTTAATCTCCAAATGTTGAAATCTCCAACTACAGTAGTGGATTTGTCTATTTCTCCCTGTTATTCTCAGTTTTTAACACTCTGTTGTTAGATGCCTACACATTAATGAGTGTTATGTCTTCTTGGTAAATTGACCCTTTTATCATTATATAATGCCTTCTTTATTGCTGATGATTGTTCAATTCTGAAGTCAACTTCATTTGACATTAATATCCCTACTCCAGCTTTCTTTTGATTAGTATTTGCATGGTATATCTTTCTCCATCCCTTTACTATTCTATTGTGGCAAAATATATATAATGTAAAATTTACCATTTGAGTCATTTTTAAGTGTATAGTTCAATAGTTTTAAGTACTCACATTATTGTACAACCATCACCAATATACATCTCCAGAACTTTTTCATCATTCCATACTGAAACTTGGTATCAATAAAACAGTAACTACCAATTCCCCACTCCTACAGCTCCTGGTAACCACCATTCTACTTTCTCTCTATGCACTTGACTACTCTGGGGACCTCATGCAAGTGGCACTATACAACATTTGTCCTTTTGTGTCTGGATTATTTCACATAGCATAATATATTCAAGATTCACGTGTGTTTTGTCATGCATCAGAATTTTGTTCCTTTTTAAGGCTGAATAATATTCCCTTGTATGTATATACCACATTTGCTTTATCCAGTCATCTGTTGTTGGGCACTTAGGTTGCTTCTACCCTTTGGCTGTTGTGAGTAATGCGACTCTAAACATGAGCACACAAATATCTGCTTGACTCCATGCATTCAATTCTTTTGTGTATATACCCAGAAATGGAATTGCTGGATAATATGGTAATTGTATTTTTAATATTTTGGGGGAACCACAATAATATTTTCCACAGTGGTTGCACCATTTTGTATTCCCACCAGCAATGTACAAGGGTTCCAATTTTCCTACATCCTTGCCATCTGTTGTTTTCTGTTTTTTCTACTTTGATACAAATCATGCTAATGGGTATGAATTAGTATCTCATTGTGGTTTTGATTTGCATTTTTCTAATGATTAGTGATGTTGAACATCGTATGTGCTTATTGGATATAAAATGTTCAATCGAAGTGTCAAATTGACTGACTACTGGAAGTATTTATAAACTTGCGATCACATCACACATTCACAATTTTAAAAATGCGTAGCAAACTTTGTTCAAAACTCAATAAGAAGTGTTACTGGGGAAGGTCATGAGATAACCCTGGCATGGCTGAGGGGAAATGTCCCAAATAAAGTTCATATTTTCAAAGCACTTTTCGGAAGTTTCAGTTACATCTCCAAGTCAATATAGCACATGTGAGTTTGCTTTGGGCTGTCCACAACCAAGGAAAGCCAGTCTAACAGGAGAGGTGGTAATAAATCAATTCTCAACAGGCAAGGGGGGTTGACATTTCTTGAGAAAAATCCATTCAGAAAAGTGTCACCAGCCCGTGGCTATAAATATAATGACATCATTGACCTGTTGGGAGGATGGGCCTGACAGGGTTAGGCAGATGTTCAAGGGTCCAAACAACAGAACAGTAGTACAAAAATGGAAACTGAGCCAAATACTCAATCCTACAGATGACATCACCACAGCAGGGGTCAAAGTGGATAGCAGCTCATGGGTTTGTCCAGGCCAAGCATGGTGTATTTTATTTGGACCAGCAAGAAAGGCTCCATCCCTGTTCAGGTTTTGGCTCCAGAACTGGTTGAGACTTAGCCTGCAGACAAAATGAATCCATGCCTGCAGCTTAATCAGGGAGTGGGGGGGTTGGGGTAGGGGGCGTTCTTTGTCCTTACATCAAAAAAGCTGGGGTGATAAATGACAGTTTCATCAGCTGCAGGTCAAGGGTCACTCTTTGAGTGAATATTAAACAAGTAGAGAGTAAGATATTCTGCTCTTTCTTTCCTCATTTACCCACCTGCCAACTCACTCATCCATTGCTCCTTAGTCATTTGGTTCTAGCTCAAGCCAGAGAAGGTATGTTGCTGTATCCTAGGACCCCCTGATTGCCTTTGAATTGGGAATATAGCCTAAATGCCATTCTCCCATCGTCACTATAATTCAGAGTATCTGTGTAGGTTTTGCTCCAAAATTCATCTCTGATGCATAGGTAGAAAAAACTAATATTCATTATTCTTGGTTAGTTGTAATGCTAGGCCAAATTTAGTATTTCATTTATTTCAAATCAAAATATACATTAGATTTTTTGTAATTTTTCCATTTACACAGAAGAAGAAAATCAGGCTCAGAGGAGTTAAGTATATTGCCTAGGTCCACACATTCTGGTAGGTAGCAGCTTGCAATTAAAATCTGTCTTTCCCAAATATTTTTCTCTTGCATCTACATGGTGCTGAGTCTCAGAAGCTTTTGTGACCCTGTTTATCCTTAACTAACTACAGCCTGAGGAAAGAGACCTATGTGGCCCTTCACTGGATGCCAAAGAAGATAGATTAATTAGGCTCACAATAAAAACCTTGGGTTACTAAGATGAGTAGACATGATTTTAGAGAGACAGATGATGGAGAGGTTGAATGAGAAAGGCACCAAATTCAGTGGTGACAACAAAAGACTCTGGACTATGGATGCTTTCTTTGTCTTTCTCCTTTCCTATCTAGTTTGAGCCAGTGCTTTGATTGAAACTCGCACATGTAGTCAGAATGCTTCATAGACACTGGTCTGTGAGTGAACTGCTGAATGAAGCTCACTGTAGTCTATAAGAGAGATCAGTGTTCCTAAAATCAAGAAGAAGCCTTGAGTCCTTAAGTGGAGCAGCTGACCTTATAACACTGGATAGTTTCCTGGAGTTATAAAGGGTACTCTACAGTTTCTTCTCCTGATCCATCATCATCACTAACAACAAAAGACATGAGAAAATAACTGAATGGGAGATGAGGAAAGGAAAAGAGATGCTTTACAGATTTTCAATTCTGCAACATTTCTATGCCAAGGGAGCCCTGTTAGCCAATATATTTCAACAATTCATACGAACTAATAAATTCCCAACATCACCCCATTTCCCTCTCCACCAGCTCCTGGCAACCACCATTCTATTCTCTGCTTCTAAGAATTTGACCATTTTAGGTTCCACAGCTAAGTGAGATCATGCAGTATTTGTCTTTCTGAGTCTGACTTATTTCACCTAATATAATTTACAAAGTTTTAGTTATGCAAGATGAGTAAGTTTTTGAAATTTAATGTACAGCAAGATGACTATAGTTAACAACACTGTATAGTACACTTGATATTTGCTATGAGGGTGGATCTTAAATTAAATCTTCTCCCAACACACACAGAAATAAAATAAAATGGTAACTATGTGATGGGTATATTAATCAGCTTGATTGTGGTGATCATTTCACAATGCATACATATCAAAACATCAAGTTGTCCACTTTAAATATATACAATGTTTATCTGTCATTTAGACCTCAATTAAGCTGTTCATCAAAGAACCAATAAATCAGAGGAAAGACATAAGTTCTATTAGCTATGTAATTTCCCAATCTAATAGACAAGAGCAACAATCAATGATATCAACTCATAATTCACAATCTATACTAAAGAATCGCTAGGAAAAGAGAATAATTGTAACAGAATCCAATTCAAGTTGTCAAAAATTTACTAAGCATGTATTCCATTCTGGGCTCAAGATTAGGGGTCTAGCATCTGGAGATATGTAAATACATTTTTCTCTTATAAAGATGTGAAAATGTCATTGAGACAAGACTGTTGCCCTAGTGAAGAGTTTCTCCAGGGCCCCCTTCATGTCCCTGTTCCTCAGGCTATAAATGAAAGGGTTCAGCAATGGAGTGACCACTGTGTACATCACAGAGGCAATTACATCCTTGTCATTGGAGATTCTGGATGAGGGGAAAAAATACAGCCCAATAATTGTCCCATAATACAAAGATACCACAGAGTGGTGGGAGCCACATGTGGACAAGGCTTTGCAGATCCCTTTGGTAGATGGAACCTTTAGGATGGTGACCCCAATGCGGCCATAAGAGGTCAAGATACATATTAGTGGGAGAGTAATGACTGCCACTCCTGCTGTGAAAATGACCAGCTCATTGAGGGAGGTGTCTGAGCAGGAGAGCTTGAGCAGGGCTCCAAGGTCACAGAAGAAATGGGGGATGGTGTTGTCAGCACAAAAGGACATTTGGGCCAGGAGGAGGGTGTGAGACAGGGCATTTACACAGGAGAGGATCCAGGATACAGCTACTAGTAACATACACAGCTCCTCTTTCATAATAGTGGGGTAGTGAAGGGGGTGACATATGGCCATGTACCGATCATATGCCATTGAGGTGAGAAGGAAATTGTCCATATCAGTAAAAAATATGAAAAAATACATCTGTGCTATGCACTCTGCATAGGGGATGGATCTATCCTGAGTTTGGAAGCTCATTAACATCTTTGGGACGGTGACAGATGAAAAGGAGATGTCAGTGACAGCCAAGTGGCTGAGGAAGAAGTACATGGGTGTGTGGAGGCGAGAGTCCAGACTGATGAGTAAGATGATGAGCAGGTTCCCCAGCACCGTAGTCAGGTACATGCCCAGGAACAGGACAAAGAAGATGCCCTGCTGCTCTGGCAGGATGGGGAGCCCCAGGAGGAAGAATTCAGATATGCAGCTCTGGTTCTCCCTCCTCATGCTCTTCTTCTCTCTGCTGGAGATGACTGGACAGCTAAAGAAGCAGAAAGCAACAAATTTTGATTTATAGCAGGCAGATAAAAATGAGATCCTTTCTACTGGTTAATATGCCAATGTCTGTCTGCATTGCTGTGTTCCTACAAAGGTCCCTTAGAGTGGATGGGAATATTATGTAAAATGAGAGAATTTGCCAACAGAGAAGGGTTTGATATAGAAGAGAAACTGGCTCAGTTGGTATTTTTCCACCCTCCAGGGAAGAGGTAGCCTCTAAGTTATAATCTGCAGCTGTGTCTAGTCAGTAAAAGGAGAGCCTTACACTGTTTAAGCAGAGAGATATTAAGCTAAAATTTCACTTTGCTATTCTATTTCTGTACTTTTTAAAATGATCGTCTGGCTATGCTTGACCTTCAAGTTGTAACATATTGAACTTCTGAAATCTGATTTACCTACTTTTGTAAGTAAAATACAGGAAGTTTCAAAAACATATATTCAAAGTAAAGTGGATTAAAAAGAAATACCCAAAGTTTCCATTATGTATGAAGTTCGAATAGTAAAGAAACATACCTGTTGATTGAACTCCGAGTTTCTCAGAGCTCAATCTTCCAATGTCACAGCTGTAAAAAGTAAAATATTACTGACGGTTATATATTTATTACCAGTAATCATGTTTATAAGGCTCTTTTAGATCATTCTCCAATGTCCTCCTGATTCTTCGAGTTCTTAAGACACCATGAAAATCCACAATCCATAACAGAACAGGAAGTCAGAGGAGCCATAAAAATACCCCTATGCCTTCGTTAGCTTCCTCATTTGGGCTCCTGAATCTTGAACCAAAGCACTTACTAGTCAGCTCCACAAAAATTCAAGATATATCCAGGTTCCTCCAGTCATCGAGATTTTATATCTTACAATATCTCTTTGTGTCCTCCCCCAGCATCCACTATCTACTCATTAAAATATTCTAAAGCCTAAGTTACCATATCTTGCCAAGTAAGTAGAAAAAGAAGTTTATGATTCCACTGTCTTAATTTAAAAGTTCCCTTTAAGCCAAAATTGTAAATATTAATACAATCACATTAGTGAAGCACTACTGCAGATAGTTGGCACAAATTAATGCCCTCCATTTCATGAGACCCCTTTATTTCTCCCTCTTGGCTGCCCATTCTTCTCAATAGGCAGATCTTGAGCAGAGTTCAGATACCACAAAGCCACTTCATCATGGGATTATGACCTGATGCAGGCAAAGTCCATAGACAGCAATGGTGAAGTTAGGAGTATAGGCAGAGTCCCACCATGTCCTGCCTGGTAGAGAATGACTACTCCAATATCTCACTGTTCTGGACTTCTCTCTCTCTTTCTGCATTCTCTCTGGTTTCCCTTATGGTTTATAAATAAGATCACTCCTTCCTAAACTTGTAAACTTAACAAGTCTATGGGATTTAGGATTTTAATAAAATCCTCTGGATCCAATTTGAACATACCTCTTTTTTTCTGCATAAGCCTTATGTAAAGACCATATACACATGCTCACTCTACAATATAACAGTCTTCTGGTCAAAAATACATCAACTTCTGCTTACTGATAACTGATATTTCCTTGACAGTAAGGCTGTGTACTGTGGAAGGCGAAGCATGGGCTTTGGAGTCAGACAGAATGGATTCAACTCACCTCTCCACCATTTGTCAGATCTATGTCTTTGGGCCAGTATTGAACCTCTTGGAGCCTCAGTTGTTCCTCTCTAAAATTGGAATACTAGTCCCTGAATCACAATAAGAATAATATAAGAAATAATAAGAAAAATAAGGTATGTATGCAAAATGCTTCACTTTTAGGAAGTGCCCTATAAGAGGGACATTGCTTTTATTAAATGTAAAATGCAAAGATCTCTAGTGAAGAAACTCGGTGTCTTATCTTCAATGGAACCCAGGCAAACATAATTGGGGTAGTAGATCTTTCCTGGGTCCAAGGTTTGATGCCTTCGATGAAGGTATGGGACTATACTAGGGATTACAGCCAGGAAATCATTGATCAGATTCTAACAAGGAGCTGCAATATAGACGATACATAAAGGAAAAAATAAATCAAAGCTGTCTAGGCAGAAGTCCTTCAAACGTACTTATGGGTGAAAGCAGTAGTGTGTCTAAAGTGGAGGGAATGATCGGGGATTTTGGAGAGAAGCATTAGAGAGGGCTGAGTCACACACCATACACTAAACAAACACACATTCTGACACCTAGAACTTGAATGATGAGATGGAGCACCTGGCCTGGATTTGGGGATGTGCCCACTAACTTATGCAGCCAACTGGCTCTACTTTTCATCTTCCCAAGGCTTGAGGTTAAAGATATGAATGTCATTGGCCAATGGTGATTGCAGTATCACTGTTTTTTGGAACTAATAATGAGAAATGACTTAAGCAAGAGCACCGAGAAGTGATGAGTACATGTGGACACACATACAAACACATACACACACTATACACCTGCTGCTGACAAAGGATACACACTTCTGCTCTGAACTTTATGCTCAAGTCATCTAGCTCCCAGGAATATGGATTGATTTATCAGCTTCTTTGTAAGAGACCCAGAGACCAGATTTAGCCTACAAATTCTGTGGCCCTAAACCTCTCACTGACATCAGAGAGAAAAGTCATACGCCTAGAGTTTACTCTTCTCAATGTACCAGCTTCAGAAATAGAGATATGAAGACTCCACTCTACCCACTAGGGAGAAGACTCAAGGTGACATGGCACCCAGCTCATGGTTAGAGACATGCATTACACATATATTAATTGCTCAGTTTTCTTCCTTCTCCCTCCAGGATACATGCCTTAGGGCTGGGGTCCCTAAACTCCGATGTTCACCAGAATCACCTGGGGAGCTTGTTAAAGATGCATATCCAAGCTCCACCTCCAGAGATAGTCACTCATGAGATCTGGGGCCAGGTAATTCTGAGGCAGATGGTTCTAAGGGCAGACTTTGAGGAAACATTGTCCTTAGGAAGAATGTCATGGTAGATGCCTTGTGAATGTGATCCAAAAAGAAGATGTGGAAAGACCTCCTTACTGGCCCTTCCCTACCCAATTTAAATTTCCTTTAGTTGGGTCATGTGATGGGATGTGAAGAGGGATTTTTCTCCCAAACAGAAATTCCTTTTTGGCTTGATTCTTATAAAATTAACTCTGCTTCATGATGGAAATCCAAATAATACAGACATAAAAATAAAGGAGAAAATCAAAATACTCTCCCTTCCATTATTCATTTTTTATCCTTCTAAATGGTTTTTAGTCATAAAAATTTATGTTTACATAAATGGGATTTATTTATACCATACTTTATAGCTTTCTTTTTATATAATTATTATAGTAATATTTGCACATCTAGGCATATCAGTATATAGAATACATACAATATCAATATGTTAATCCACTTATAATTTTTATTTGCAGTCAATATCTTTTTGAATGAACACAAAAATTCACTGTGAAGCTTCATTAAAGATTATACTAAACCTTGAAATCATCTCTTTTGTCAGTTGTCTGAGCGAGGCTACTTTAATAACTCCAAAAGCATCAATTTTAATTGGCTCCATTGTCTTACTTCCTTGGTACCTGTGGCTTAGCTTACTCCTTTGAAAAGAGAAGAACCTAACTTTGAAAATGTCCATGAAATTCCATTCCATGAATGAAGAATGGAAGTCCAAGAATGGAATCTTGTTGAAAGAGATTATTTTCATTCACGTAAAGCCAATGTTAAAGTTTAAGTTATGATTTCCTTCAGTAAGTAGTAGATAATAACAACAATAAACAAATGCATAGGGACAGAGATTGGATTGGTGGTTACCAGAGGGGAAAGGGGGAGGGAGGAGGGTGAAAGGGATAATTGGG